AAGACATTGACGGAAGGGCCTGACGCCGGCACTGATTATCACTGCCGGGCTAATGTCTCCTGATAAGGCCGTGTGTGTGTAATTAAGATGTTTCCGCCACATGTTATCTGCAGCTAGGTAAGGTGCAATTGCTGGCAGAGATGGAGCTTTTTGTCAATCAGGAGTATCTCTTCCGCGCTATCTTTGACTCTTAACTGCAGCGTAATGTTTGTAGATCTTTCACCCCTCGCGCTACCCACCTTTCTTCTTCTTTACGTCTCACCTCTCAGAAGGCAGATAAATGAGCTTCCTCTCTCCCCTGGAGCCCCCTTCTCTTTGTGTCTCTCCTTCCTCTTTTTTTATTTTTTTTTATTTTTTTTTATTTTTTTTTATTTTTTTTTATTTTTTTTTATTTTTTTGCTCCCGAGCCCCACCAGCTCGTCTAAGATCCCTTCTGGCCAAACCCTGCACCCCTGTCAGTGAGTCTGTTGAGAATGGTGGCGAATGCAAGTGGCGCTCACGTTGGGGTTGAGGAAAATTAAGCGTTGCCTCCCTCGTCGCCCTGCAGGCTGCCTGGCCACGATGACGCCGTGCTGCTCTCTGAGGAGGCTGCAGCTTTCAGGGGGTGCCGGCCAGGAGCCTAAAGGGGAGCTTAGCAGGAAAGGGGAGGAGGGTGAGTTCTTTTTGGATTCTGTGTGCATGCAGGTGGGGGTGCGCCATGTAAGCATTGCTCAGCGAAGCTATAGATTACAGTCTGTCTGCTGCGACTGCCACCACTGATGAGCTCTATGCAGGCATCATTCCCTATCGATTAGTCACTCCAATGCAAACACACACACACAGACACACACAAACACACACATGATGGTAAGATGGTCAGCGCCCAGGGCTGCAGGTCATTTAGCTGTCACCTCAAAGTGATGGCACGGCCCAAGATCAATGGGAGGCCTGTAGCGCCTCTCCAGGATGAGACACACACACACAGCAGGACTCTGCATCAAAAGAATAAGAGAGTTAAGTTGGCCCTGACTTCGTAAATAAATAAAACCAAGTGCTCAGCTTTAACAGCCAGTCCTTTTTCCCCATTTGCGGGAAAATCTTCACAAGTGGGATGCCACAAGACAGAGAAAGTCAATGCCAACACAAATTCTGTTGCATCCAAAATGACTCCCGAGCACAGTTTGTTTTTTTTAAATATTTCATCGATCTGTGACTTGCCATTAACAGGATGTCGCTTGTTATGCTAAATAATGCAGAATCGATGCGGCTAAGAATTTACATCAGGAAAAAACAAATCCATATTACTCAGCAGTTGTGCAGCTTGTAAGAGGACAAAGCAGATGAATTGGTTCCTCCTCACGTCCCATGGAAACCGCTTTGCATTTAAATGCATCCCGATGCTTTGTATATTATTCATAACACCTTGTCTCTATCACAGCTTCTGTAAAAACTAAGTATGCTAAAATTAATGAGCCATATCCATACCATTACATTTATCTGTTTAGTGGTGTTTTGGGTGCTCCTTTAGGGCATTATGCACGCTCCTCTCTTCATATTTATAACCCAGGCTTTTTATTAGCGCCGTAGCAGGGAATTAACAGTTGGGAGGCAGGCTGCGCTTTGATGGCGGTGGCAGTCTGGGGGAGGCAGGCAACGGGGGAGAGGGCATCAGCTGCCAGGCCCAGGGCCCCGCAAAAGAGGGGAGGTGAGGCTGAGCCTGTCTGTCTGGTGTTGTCACACCTGCTGTATTTAAAACTGCAGTCGTGTGTCTACATTGTGCCCCTGGGCACTTTTCATGGTTTCTGACACATTTGGGGAGTTTATTTTTAAAAGAAGCATTGCCCAAAAGAAGCTAAAGGGGCTCATGAAGAAGATTAAATGCTCTAAACTATGCTAATCTCTGAAAAGAAAACCATGTGCAAATCTGCGCTATTACACGGCACTCACTCGTCTAAATAGATGTATGAACACAAAGGCGGAGAAATGCCTTTTTAATTTCCCTTTTGTACAGCATATACTTGTACCTTCATGTCGGTTTTTTTGCAGCAACTTGTGTAAACATGCATGTTCGGGCTGCTCTCATGTTAGAAACTGCTCTCTGGACATGGATGAGTGTATCACAGCCAAAACAACATTGGCAAACATATGTCTGTTAAGCGCTGAAGCTGGAAATGATTCGCCAGTAATGTGTATTTTGTGCCGAGCAGAGCTGCATTCAATTTTTTGTACCTCCCAGGTTGAAAGCTGAATGATGTTGAAAATATTGTGTCCCCCAAGGAGTTCAAACATTTGATGAGCATCCATATTATATCGCATTTATTTACCACATGCCAGTATTGCCAGCTAATTGTTTGACATCCTCATCTCTCGTGTGTCTGGGTTGTTTTCAAAATGTTGTATTTGTACAAAAAAAACAAAACAAAAAACCACACGCAATCCATCCATTTTCTGTACTGCTTGCCCACATTTGGGCTGTGTTTAAATGGAGCTTATCCCAGCTGAATGGATTGGGCGCCAGTCAATCTGGAGAAAGGAAGAAGAAAGAAACCTTGGCATTTTCTATTGTCTTGCACACAATTGCTCACACAGAGAAGTCTTCACCCAGAGTTGTTTTTCACGCTTCAAACCTCTGGCGCATGACCCTTCACCCGCGAAGCTAACATTTGTTTATTCTATTTTTGCCAAAAGCATCAATGATTTTGTTTGAGTAAGATTTAAGACATGGGCTACTGTGTCACACCATGACTGCAAATGCACCGTCACCATCATCACCTTTCTCTCAGTGGTTGGCAGCCTGGCTGGCCAGCGGATTGTCACGCTTCATCCTGGCCCGCATAGAGGAATCATCCCAAAAAGGCCATTAGGAAAATGGAACTTGGCTTTGTGCAAAACCAATAAATGTCGGCACTCCAGACAGGCGCTTCGCCAAGTAGCCCCTTTCTCTCTCTCTCTCTCTCTCTCTCTCTCTCTCTCTCTCTCACACACACACACACACACACACACACACACACACACACACACACACACACACACACACACACACACACACTTAAGGGCACTAGATCAGGAAAGAGATTTGTTTATGCATGAGCATACAGTGGGTGTTCAAGCAAAAACAAAAGCGCTGAATAATTACACTCAGAGCAGCATATAATTATGCTTCTCTTACACAGACGACGTGGCACCACCCACGCTGCACAGCAATAAACACACACAAGCTGCTGATCAAACACATGACCTTCTCTCAAACAATGTTAATGTCACCACCTGGGGGATACCAACCTGGTCGGGCGGTGGCGCCCGATGGAGTGACAGGGAACAGGAAGCGTAGAAAAGAGAGGATAGCAGCCACAACTCACGCAGAAGTTTCACAGTAGTCGCTCCACCTCATGCAATGTTATAGCCGACATGCCATCATATCACCATGGTTTGTAACCTTGTATTTAACCTTGTGTTTTTGAGCACCTGCATGCTCCTGTGTGTGTGTGTGTGTGTGTGTGTGTGTGTGTGTGTGTGTGTGTGTGTGTGTGTGTGTGTGTGTGAGGCACCACTGACAGGACTTTCTTACACCAAATGTCACACTTCTAAAAAGGATTCACTCCCCCATTCCCCCTGCGGAGAAAATCAAGTCAAGACCTTCTTCGGCTCTTTGGCTTCTTTCACCCAGTCACCCCCGTTGCTCTACTCACTTTCGACTTGCCTCTGCCTTGCACTTATCTTCTTCTATCCTCTTTTCCGCCTGCTTGGACTAGCTCCCATACGCACTCTCACCTTGGTTCGCAGTCCTCAGCGCTTTGCTGAAGAAATTCCTCTCTGAGTGGCTGGTTTAGGCGGATAATTAGTGCTCACCTTGAGAGAGGAGCCCGCCTGCACAACGAGAGGACTGAAAAATGAGGGAAAACAGGCTGTGGAGAGTAAGTGTAGGAGAGGGGAGCGGATGTGAAACATCGCGCCAACTTGTTTGTCAATTTATATAAAGCATAAAGCGCAGAGCGAGGAAGAAATAATGTAGGCGTGTGGCATAGGGAAGAGGTGGGTGCTCTTGAGTGGATTTTAATTTGATGTCAGTATGCAAATCGTGTGAACATTACAAACACCAAAAAAAAAAAAAAAACGCTTTTGTTCCTGGAAGACACATTCCCTAGCAACAGACCCCTCCCTGCCTAAAAAAAAAAGAGAGAGAAATGTGTGATTTTATTTTTAGAAGGTGTAAATGAGGAGGGAAGGATGGAAGAGGAATTGGGAAACTAGGGGGAGGTAGTGGTGGGGTGTAAATATCTCTGATGTGTTCAGTGTGTAAAACCTTATTCCTGATAATGGGAGCAGCGACTCTGTGTGTCAGTGCCTATTTACACACAAATGAAGTGGGGAGTAGTACGCACCCGCCAGAGCTGCTCGCCTCCATCTCAGCTGTCAAAACAGGTTAGTGGTTACAAGTAAGACACAACGATCCCTGGGATCAAACCGGCGCCGTCTGCCCGCACATAATAGTTTTATCCTTGGACACTGGACGCCTCATTCCCTGGCCGGCTTGACTCAAAGAAGCTTGACAGCATCGTGTCAAGTAATCGACTCCTCATGACGCCAGTGTGCACAAATCAGTGCTCTTTTGTTTGGCCTCTATGATTAGGTACAGGGTAATTGGAAAGAAGCCAACCATAAATACAGAGGAATAAATCTTTCAATATTAGCTTGCTGGATGCTGATACATGCGTGTTTGTCTCTAAACAGTGAAATGTTGTTTGATGAGAACTGCATTCAGTTTAGAACATCTCCTATTGCACTTGCAATCAATCAGTGTATAATCACTGGCACAGGTTTCTGGTTACACGTGTGTGTGTGTGTGTGTGTGTGTGTGTGTGTGTGTGTGTGTGTGTGTCGGCGCGCACGTGGGTGTGTTTGTGGTTTTTGTGACAGCTGAGTGAGTGGAGTGTCGACAAGTACATGTTGGCATATCCAATGATGGATGTTTATCAAGTTGGATTGAAGAGTGAGCAGTCTGCTGTTTTTATCTCTTCCAGACCTGCCTGGAGTTAGAGCGTTATCTGCAGACGGAGCCAAAGCGTCTTTCGGAGCTCTTCGACCATGATTTGGATGGGCTCTTGACCCCCGCCTACCTGAAGGAGGATGGCGAGGAAGAGCTCGCCGACGTTCTCCTCCCCAGCATACATGAGCCCCCGAGCCCACCAACAGTGATACTTTGCCCCGCACGGAAGAACTTACCCTCCACAACTTCAATAAAAACAGAACCAAAGGTACCCGAACCCACAGAAGGGATGGAAGGAGTTCACCAGGCACAGTTAAGTGCAGTCACCTCCCTGACGCCCCCATCATCGCCGGAACTTGGTCGGCACCTTGTGAAACCCAGCCCCTCCCTCACGGCATCTGCTGATGGGACACTCACCCTCAAGCTGGTGGCCAGGAAGGTGGGGCTCAGCGCCGCCCGGCTGGTGCCGGCACACCCGCTCCCTGCGCAGGTAAAGGAGGAAGATGAGGGAGTAGCGTGTGTGCTCGGGGAGCTTCCAGAGAACAAGAAGAGGATCCACCGCTGCCAGTTTAATGGCTGCAGGAAGGTTTACACGAAGAGCTCTCACCTTAAGGCCCATCAGAGGACACACACAGGTAAGAATTTTGATTAGCCGCAAGATCTTTCAAATGGGTTTTCATACCACTTCCGTTCCTCATATACACATCTGTTTATATGGACATACCGTATTGTCCGGCCATCTGTTACGCTTCTTTTGTTGTGATTAAAATTCCCCATGTTCTCCATTCTCAGTGAAGGATGAGGTTAAGTAGGAAATGAAAACTTCTTGTTATCGTGAAGGAGTAACATTACTTCTCTTGTCCCACTCTTTCTACCTGAACCTGGTCTCCAGCGACAAGGCTGTTGACTAAAGCCAAGGGGAGGCGGGGGGGGGGGGGTCTTGAAGGGGGGGGGATCTTGATGCCCCAACTCTTTCACTCCTCCATCTCCATCCCAAACCACTCAGACCCCTGTCGGGGAGCTGTCCTCTGCCTGAGTAACTGTTCAGTGATGGATGGATTGACCTGGATAGGCCACCTGACATTCCCAGCTTTATTTCTAACACTGACACCCCACTCCCACACCCCCACTAAAGCTGCCTGCGGGTCTAGGTCAGTGACTGACCACCTTTTGCTGGGGCTGTAATCATCCAGAAACTCCAAATATGTTGCAGACACAACAATTATGGAGGCAGGTCATGGCATGTTGGCTTATATTGTCGTGTGTCAGTGCAGGGCTTGCCGTCATCTAAATCCTTCTTTCGAAACCAGGATATAACTTGTGAGTCCACTGAAAGTTGTGTATGCAGGATGGAGACAAGCCCGCCATTATGGCCCACTATAACCAAGGGCCTATCGGGAATTTAAAAAAAAAAATCCAATTTGTTCATTTTTCTGTCAGTCACTTTATGTTGGTATGAGTTGACCAACCCATGAGCGATTCTGTGCTACGCCGTGGCCGTAATTATAGTGTGTGCCAACAGAAGGCTTATCTGAAGTCTTAATAGATTCATATAATTCCGCCACGTGTTGAACTTTCTCTCAGTCAGTTGCCACTGCATCAGTTCACAAAGAAGCTCGCACTAGGGGGCCTATCTTAATGCCATTGGGCCTATACTGTAAGGCATTTAATTTCACATTATTCTGCCATTTGTATATTTATCAGTCAATTACATCATTGCGGCTTCTACGAGGCAAATCACACACTAGAATGATGGCGGTGCGGCCCTGGTGCGCTCGCACGAACGCTGGCGCTACACCTTGGTTCTTCTTTTGGTAGCCTGAAGAATGCTTGCCCCTTCTTTTGTATGTACGTGTGACACCCTGGTGCACATCGGCTGTCTACCCTTGTCAAAGTGTGGCGTTTCCTGTTTTCTACTAAGTTTTATACTCTCTCATATTAGCCTGCATTTACATTTGGCATCATGCCACAATATTGTGGGATACATGTCGTCAACATCCGACGCTCTGATTATTACCATGGTGACAACAGTTAGGAACCGCTGCCCCAATGAGTCAAAAAGGTGCAGCAGGAGACTACTGGTGAACCCATACAGTGAGTTTGGATCTTATGGGATTGAAGTGATGCATTTGTACCTACTCTATGCCACTGCCAACGCTGTGCAAAACACACATTTTGTGTTCTTATGCTTGTGAGTAAAATCAGCTTGTATGTGCCTTTTTTGACAAAAGGCTTGGAAACTCTCAAGGTTTGATTGAACTTTCTGTGAAGCACATCACACAGGTAAGCGCTAGCCACACTGAAACAGAGATACACAATCGCTGAGTTCACCGGTGAAGTATATTTGTCGCCCAAGTGGGTAAAAATGACAAGTGGGTAGACCAGAAAAAAAACAGTCAAGTGTGCAATTTCTACTCGTGTTGACCCGTCACAAGGAAGTGGGTTGATATTAGGATCAAACAGCACAAAACTCAAATATTTTATTCGCATAGATGACTCATGTGTTAAGGACGTACGCCATAAGACTCAAACAAAAGGATATAAGGCAACGACCCTCTGCAACGCAACAGCTGTAAAGCAGGCTCCCCAGTCACTGCACTATTATCCTGACACGTTTAAAGATGTCATTACTCAAATCCTCTTTTTCTTGCTTGTTATTTCCATAAATTACTGCTGGAGAAAAGGCGACGATTTAATCTGGAATTAGACGGGTCGGCATGGAATAGCGGTGCCCTGTAGAGCTTTTTGTGAATAGGCTTATGACAGATAAGGAGTGGTACAATTAGATAGGGAGCAGGTTGAGGGAAGAGCTAAAACACGCGGCTGCTCAAGTTATTCTTCCTCTGTCGCTCGTTTGACATCAACTTCCTCCCTTGTGTCTCCCTTCATAAAAATACTTGAACTCCAGTTTTTATTTGACCCCGTGGAAGTTCCTTCACTGTTTAACACAGTCAGACACATTAGCTTCTAACGTTCTGGTAGATCTCCGGAATAATCAGGAGAGAGGTGGATGTTTATTTACAAAACGCAAGACCGACAAAGTACAATGGAGGACGGCGGTACCCACAAACCAGGAAAAAGTGAAACAAAACCAAAAATGCTTGCAAAAGGCAAGGATAAGATAAACGGAAATAGCTTGTCACAAAAGAACAAGTAAATCCAATAGGCGAGAATAATTAAACTGAGGAAACAAGAACAAGGAAACGTGTTGAGAAGATATAAGGCAAAAACATGAACGTTTAGAAAATTCAGGCATTTGGAAACGGGAGACGTGAGCTAGGCTGAAATAATCCGAAAGCCAGTTGTCGATGTGGCAGAGTTTTTAAAGGCAGCTGGAAACATGGCATGATTTTTATGGCATGCGTCAGGTGCGGCTCATGAGGGAACGCCCCACTCTAGCTGGTGAGTCAAAAAAACCAAAGCAAATAGGACAGGATTATGACATATTCAAGTCAACTTCGATACATAACCATGCCATGTGGCTGTTATTGTGGAGTAACGTGGTGGGAAATGGCAGTCAACAGTGCAACCCCAAACCTTCTCTCTCTGGCTTCTGCTTGTCAGGGTTACACTCCCATCATTATATCCATGGTTACTGCCAGTGTCCATGTGAAAGCCATCACCAACTCAACAATGTAAACGTGCAGTTATTGTATTTTGACTGATTTCAAAGAGATTTAAATTGAGAAAAGTTTCCTTTTGATACATATGAATATTTGAGCTGACATCAAGACTCCCCCCTCGCTCACCTGCCTCCCATACATAATCTTCCTCTCTTCATGTAGCTGCCCCCAACCAAACACTGCTCTCTCATATCAAAGGCTGGAATGCTGGTTGCAGGTCGGAGCCCGTAAAGCGCTCTCGGCGAGCCTCTCTAATGACCTCTGAGACCCGGATGCCCGGCACCGGCTCCAGTTAATGGAAGAAATGCAATTAAGATCAACACTGGCACCTGAGAGGCTGGAGTGCAATCCCTATGTGTGTGTGCGTGTGAGGGAAGAATCAGAAGTAACAGATGACACATGATATGATTACCGTGACTCAGGAAACACCCAGTTATCAGATTACGGATGCCAACGTATAAGTTCTTATTTGATTTGATTATTCTGCAAGGCATTTTAGAGTGGAGGGAGAAAGCATTTGGGCACCGAGACATGTCTGAGCAGAGGTTTCTGAACACTTTCAATGGAGCTTGTAACCACGCACAGGATTTATAATCATCTTAATGAAAGGAAATGATGCGCAACATAAGCCATGACATGTTTTCTAAAAGTAACAAAAGCATAATCTGATTATATTGACGAGTTTGGGCTAATCTGCTGGATTAGATCAGTGATCTCCATTTTTCAGTGACACTCAATCCCACTGAATGGAAGCAGTGTGTGTGTACATTTGTAAATTTGTGTTTGTGTGTGTGTGTGTGTGTGTGTGTGTGTGTGTGTGTGTGTGTGTGAGCAGGCGAGTCTACGTGTCTGTTTTTGTGAGGGTATCTCAGGAAAGAAAAGGTGGAGGAGGTTGATTCTGTTACCAGGCAACGGGGCAGCATATCGTTGGAGGACTCGGTAGCTGAGTGGTTATTATTGCTGCAGGCAGTGGTCTCTTAATGCCCCCCCCCCTTCCTCCTTCCTTCCGCACCGCCACCGCTACCACCTCTCACTATCCCTCCCCCATTGCTCTGTACATCTCGACAGTTACCGTTTCTAGGCAACTGCCTCCATGCTCTGCCGGCATGCCCGGTAATTGGCCGGTGGCATGGCAGCGTGCCGTTGCCAGATCCAGCCAGCTGCACTAACTATGCTGCCTCCTCATGTTGCATGCACCCAGCGTCAACACACCCTACTCCTCTCGTGGCCCCATTGCTAGGCAACAGAGTCAGGCATCCTTGTCTCCCGGGGCTTCATTGCCGGTCGGCCCAGAACTGCTGTTCTAAGTGTTTCTGGGTACAGACTAGGGTTTGTATGAATTCAGTTTTTTTAAGTCAACACTGATGACGTCGTCGATTTTTTTTTTTTTCAGTACAGAACACCAAAGCATGGAATGTGGGCTGGGTGAAGTGCTCGCTGGCTGTCACATGATAATATAGAAATCCTCTGCTTGTTGCTGGGACAGCCAGGTAATGTTTTCATGATGTAGTCCCAATCTGGGTCCAGCACTGCAGTGGGTTATGCATATTGCGCATTGCCATGATTGCAAATAATCATGGACCGCTTCATGTACAGTGCAATGATTCACCTGTCGCCTTCCACTTGCCACATCCGCCTCACAGTACAGAGGTCCAGGGTGCACATCCAAGCTACGGCCTTCCAATGCGGGGTTCATATTTTTTTCCCCTGCCAGTGTGGATTTTCTCTGTGTACTCCAGTTTCCTCCCACATTCCAAAAGCTTGCATGGTAGGTTGATTGAACACTCAAAGGTGTGATTGTGAGTGTAACTGGGTTTTTGTCTAGGTGTGCCCTGTGATTGGCTGGCAACCAGTTCAGAGTGCACCCTGCTTCATGCCCGATGTCAGCTTTTTAAGTAGACTATACATCTATTTAAAACATGTATCTGGCTCCAAATAATTACATTTTGGGCAGCCACTTGATGAGAAATAAAATTGAGTAAATTCAACACACAATTTTTTTCAATGTACTCTAGTAGCCCATGTATCCATCCATCCATCCACCCATCCATTTTCTAATCCGCTTTTCCTCACAAAGGTCGCGGGCGCTGCTGGAGCCTATCCCAGCTGTTTTCGGGCAGTTGGCGGAGTACATCCTGAACTGGTTGCCAGCCAATCGCAGGGCACACAGAGACGAACAACCGTTCGCGCCCACAATTTAGAGCGTTTTGGGAATGTGGGAGGAAACCGGAGCACCCGGAGAAAACCCACGCAGGCATGAGGAGAACATGCAAACTCTACACAGGAAGACCAGATCCGGAATCAAACCCTGCACCTCTGCACTGTGAGGTTGACATGCAAGCTAATTCAGACCGTGCCGCCAACTCTCATAGCAGTATATAAAATAGTGGTTGGTTACTTACATTCATCTTATTTCTTGGCAAAAACACATGAACTGAAGTACATTTTAACTCACGATTGACCTGTTAAAAGGAGGTGCTGTTGCCATTACTTGGCACACAAATTAGCAGCATTTTAAAACTCACCTCCGCAACCCTTCCGAACTTCCATCACCTTCCCCTCACATTCTCCTCCAACTCCCTCTCCTTCATGCCATTCTTCTTCTGTGTGTTCAGCATCATCACCCACCATTGGGACATAATCAGTGTCTTTGCTTGATGTATGATCGTTGATGAAACAGGTGTTTTCCTCCCTCTCCCCCATGCAGGTGAGAAGCCATACAAGTGCTCATGGGACGGCTGCGAGTGGCGGTTCGCCCGGAGCGACGAGCTGACGAGGCACTACCGCAAACACACCGGCGCCAAACCCTTCAAGTGCAACCACTGCGACAGGTCTGTCAACGTGTCCCTCAATCCTCCACTTTTTTGTCTCGGTATTTTGTATAATCACGCTTGAGCCGAGGACGATGCTAAATACAGGTCAGTGTGTTTCTGTAAATAAAACCTCACGCTCTGACCCACTTACTTCCCAGAACATTTTGTGACTGCGCTCTGATCCCAAGTGTCCTTGAACAGAGTAAACTGACCAGCTAAGCAGTTTGCTCCGCATGATATTTCAGTGTCTAAATATTTAATTCTTTGGCAGATGGATTGAGGCCCCTTGCATTGCAGTGAAGCTTTATCCATCTCTGCCTATTCCAATACAAAACGCAGATATTATTCAAGCACCGCTGCTATGGTGATGTGACGTAATTTGCCATCGACTCCCTGCCTTAATTAGTCACCGCGGCCCCTGTTTAATAATGAAACACAAGCAAAATGTTAATTTGCAGCCTGGCTGGCGAAACCATCAAGCATTCGGGGGCCGTTATTTGCTATAAAAAGATCAGACTTGACTGTGACACAAAAATCTTTAGCCCTGTTTTAATTACAAGCCTCTGTCTGTGATCCGACCCTTGCTGACACCTTGGGGATCTCACAGCAATTTTGTCTTCTGGGGAATAGCTGCTGGGATGAAAAGGTCATTTTTGTGATCTCCTTGAACACGCATCCGGCATGATAAATCTGAGAGAGTTGTAAAGCATCTGCAGCATCATAAAGATCGTTTTATGAGGCCATATTGACCCATCTATCAGTGCCAGCGACTATATTGAAAAGTAAATGTGTTGTTAGTTGTGACGAGTCAACAGAATTATGTGCATATGCTATAAATATGACAGTAAACACGGCCGTTCTGCATCATAAGCAAATAGCAGGCCAGTTAAGTGTCTTTTACCACCAAGTGTACGTTACCTGATAGCTTGCTTGGGTTGATGAGCCAGTCATGCGGTCTTCAGAGCATCTGTCCGACCTCAGCTGGACAGACACACTGTAAATACAGTAACCCCCCCCCCCCAATTCCCCTTCTCCCCCTTTCCTCTGAGTACCACCCCACTACCCTCCGGGTGCGCTCATCTCTGTCATGTGTCGCACGGCGCCCAAGCCCTTGGGCCCACCGCAGATCATGCTGGGGAAAAAGAAGACAGGCTGCAAGATGGAGGCTGGGGAGGGGGCTTTGGGAGGTGAGTGGGGAGAGGGGGTGAGAGACCTGCGGTGTGCCAGCTGGTGCGGTGCCCCCGAGTTGTGACTCGTACGTTGCCATCTGTCTCGCTGAACGACACGAAAAACATGCTCGAGAGTCTCCTGGGCCTTTCGTTAACCGCATGTGTTGGCTCTGCTGTCTGGCGCCCACAATTTAGAGCGTTTTGGGAATGTGGGAGGAAACCGGAGCACCCGGAGAAAACCCACGCAGGCATGAGGAGAACATGCAAACTCTACACAGGAAGACCAGATCCGGAATCAAACCCTGCACCTCTGCACTGTGAGGTTGACATGCAAGCTAATTCAGACCGTGCCGCCAACTCTCATAGCAGTATATAAAATAGTGGTTGGTTACTTACATTCATCTTATTTCTTGGCAAAAACACATGAACTGAAGTACATTTTAACTCACGATTGACCTGTTAAAAGGAGGTGCTGTTGCCATTACTTGGCACACAAATTAGCAGCATTTTAAAACTCACCTCCGCAACCCTTCCGAACTTCCATCACCTTCCCCTCACATTCTCCTCCAACTCCCTCTCCTTCATGCCATTCTTCTTCTGTGTGTTCAGCATCATCACCCACCATTGGGACATAATCAGTGTCTTTGCTTGATGTATGATCGTTGATGAAACAGGTGTTTTCCTCCCTCTCCCCCATGCAGGTGAGAAGCCATACAAGTGCTCATGGGACGGCTGCGAGTGGCGGTTCGCCCGGAGCGACGAGCTGACGAGGCACTACCGCAAACACACCGGCGCCAAACCCTTCAAGTGCAACCACTGCGACAGGTCTGTCAACGTGTCCCTCAATCCTCCACTTTTTTGTCTCGGTATTTTGTATAATCACGCTTGAGCCGAGGACGATGCTAAATACAGGTCAGTGTGTTTCTGTAAATAAAACCTCACGCTCTGACCCACTTACTTCCCAGAACATTTTGTGACTGCGCTCTGATCCCAAGTGTCCTTGAACAGAGTAAACTGACCAGCTAAGCAGTTTGCTCCGCATGATATTTCAGTGTCTAAATATTTAATTCTTTGGCAGATGGATTGAGGCCCCTTGCATTGCAGTGAAGCTTTATCCATCTCTGCCTATTCCAATACAAAACGCAGATATTATTCAAGCACCGCTGCTATGGTGATGTGACGTAATTTGCCATCGACTCCCTGCCTTAATTAGTCACCGCGGCCCCTGTTTAATAATGAAACACAAGCAAAATGTTAATTTGCAGCCTGGCTGGCGAAACCATCAAGCATTCGGGGGCCGTTATTTGCTATAAAAAGATCAGACTTGACTGTGACACAAAAATCTTTAGCCCTGTTTTAATTACAAGCCTCTGTCTGTGATCCGACCCTTGCTGACACCTTGGGGATCTCACAGCAATTTTGTCTTCTGGGGAATAGCTGCTGGGATGAAAAGGTCATTTTTGTGATCTCCTTGAACACGCATCCGGCATGATAAATCTGAGAGAGTTGTAAAGCATCTGCAGCATCATAAAGATCGTTTTATGAGGCCATATTGACCCATCTATCAGTGCCAGCGACTATATTGAAAAGTAAATGTGTTGTTAGTTGTGACGAGTCAACAGAATTATGTGCATATGCTATAAATATGACAGTAAACACGGCCGTTCTGCATCATAAGCAAATAGCAGGCCAGTTAAGTGTCTTTTACCACCAAGTGTACGTTACCTGATAGCTTGCTTGGGGTCATGAGCCAGTCATGCGGTCTTCAGAGCATCTGTCCGACCTCAGCTGGACAGACACACTGTAAATACAGTAACCCCCCCCCCAATTCCCCTTCTCCCCCTTTCCTCTGAGTACCACCCCACTACCCCCACCCCACTATCCCTAATTCGGGCTCATCTCTGTCATGTGTCGCACGGCGCCCAAGCCCTTGGGCCCAACGCAGATCATGCTGAGATGAAGGAAGAGGGAGGGGAAAAAGAAGACAGGCTGCAAGATGGAGGCTGGGGAGGGGGCTTTGGGAGGTGAGTGGGGAGAGGGGGTGAGAGACCTGCGGTGTGCCAGCTGGTGCGGTGCCCCCGAGTTGTGACTCGTACGTTGCCATCTGTCTCGCTGAACGACACGAAAAACATGCTCGAGAGTCTCCTGGGCCTTTCGTTAACCGCATGTGTTGGCTATGCTGTCTGATGGCAGAAGAGAGTAATACACACACACACACACACACACACACACACACACACACACACACACACACACACACGCACAATACTCACGTGCGCATGCACACACAAGCGCAGACGCGTCATGCTTGCAGGTGTGACAGTAAGACCAATGACTGGTGGCTCATCAGTGTAACTCCGCCCCTCGGCCAAACATTGATTCATCATGACAGTAGCCTCTCTCTTGCTGGAGTGAAGAAATCGGAAGTGTCAAAAAAAAAACAAAAAACCATCAAACCTCAACGTCTTTGAATTGAATCAAATTTATCACCTCGATGTGGAATGGTGTAAAACATCAGAAGAAAAGAAAATCTTGGAAACCTCTAAGGTTGAACCCAATCTGTTCCAGGGATCTGCTGATTTGTGAAATAAAGAAAATAATCATGAGCTGTTCACCCATTAGAACTTTAGTAACTACCAATGTTTTTAAGTCGGTCATGCATCTGGAAAATTAAATTAAGTCCTTATAAAAGTAATACAGAAACAGAAACACGTAATCTTGGAATATTTAACAATATCTGCCATCTCTGTCCCCCCCCCATATCGATTGGTTTTCCCACTTAAGTGCACAAGCACTGTCTAAGAGCCTTAAATGAGCAAATGTTGGTAACGTTCAGGATTAACTGGACAATCTCGCAGACTACAGCACACTAGCAAAATTGAGCAGGAAGATCTCTGCAAATATTTAACCCATAAGAGCCCACGGTGACACCAGTGTAACAAACAGTTTGAACTCCCCAGTATCTTTTTTCAAAACTTTTTGTCTGATTTTAACCCATCAAAACCTTTTGGAAAAATGGGTCTGGGCTCTTATGGGTTAAAGCCAAAGACGTGTGCATTAAGTATACCAGTTCATAGGCAGTTAGGTCACCATGATAATTTCAAGACACATTGTGCAAACATATCAACACACGCTTTGACTTTTGACTTTAGAGGTTGATGAGGATTGCGGTCTTCTGTGAGATTCATTACAGTGAGCTTGTAGGGGCGGTTGTTTAGATATGAGATATTTTTCAAAGTTATACGGCTCTGGAAAAATGAAGAAACTGATGCAAGGACTAAGCAATTAACTAAAAGAAAAACAAATCAAGGATGGGCTTTGCTGTGCTTTGTTTTACGATGATATAGATCTTTACAGAAAAAGACATTAGCACTTCAATTTCTCTGCATCAAAATTAAGACTTGTTGGCATAAAGTGGCGATGTGTCTGTTAATTTTTCCCAGAGCTGAATGTGTTCGCGTGTACCTAAACGAGGCCGATGTTATGCAAACACTGCACGTTGCCGTGCAATCAGGCCGTGCGTGTATGATTTACACCAACGATGTTGCAATTATGTTTGATTTTGGCCTTGAATAGCA